TGTATATCATTATATTGGTGCCAAGGGAAGGGCAGATAATATTGTGTCAAGAAACCCTACTGGAAAGTTTTTACAGAAGTTGTAATAAAGAACAGTGATAGGATATGGTAGAACAGACATAATGAATCCCTAGCAATCTGTGTCATAAAAATATTTGTGAAATCCATTATTAGCAAGAAGTTCTGAATCTATGTAACTCGTTATGCTAATTTTGGCATAACTTTATAAAAACAAAGAGCCTATATTTTTCTTAAAGGAAAAAGTTAGATACAGAGAAAATATTCAACTTCTACCTTTTAATGACCATAGTAACAATAATAATCATTGTCATTTTGAAAAAACTTCTTTATGTCAGACATTACATAAAAATTAAACCCTGCCCATCATCTATTCAAGTGATTATAATCCCCATTTGGTAAGTGAAATATCTAATGGTATTGGTATCTTACTCATTTCCATCTAAACACGAATTTTGCACTTTTCTGCTATATTTTTATATTTTTCTTATTTTAGTTAAAACTCATGTAAGTAAGATGAACATTTCTCAGTGAACATATCCTAAATTTTCTATACTGGAAGCTTTTTTCCTTCAAATTAAGTGTCACCTCTCTTATACACACCAAGTCAAGGGACAGTGTATCATATAAGGTGACACCTAGGTCCTAGGTCTATATATCTGATTGGAAATATTAACCTGATATCTGTCCCCCCAGCCCCACTAGGCCTGTGGGTCTAGGCCTGAGGGTTGACCCTACTGATAAGTTTGAGGAAACAATGGCTCCACCTAATGCGATTAAATTTATAAGAATTTATGAATTTAACAAGGAAAACCCAAACTCTCTATATTGGCATCCCCACACTAGAAAAAAGAGATCAGGGGCAGTCTCTAGTGTCTACCCCTGAAATCATTAGTTGTAAGTTCATTTCAGATCTTTAATGGAAAGTTTTCTTTCCTTCCAAAGTTTCAAGGTTCTCTACTCTGATAGCATCGTTCTTGGGCACATGGGTGAGATTTTATAATTAACCAAGGTCTTGAGATTTATTTAGCTAGAATTGTCTTCTGGGAGACTTAAGATGTCATCTGACAGAAAAACTGGTCATTTTTAAAGAAGGTAATTTTTTGAGGATTAGACACTTACTATTGTCTATTGAATCACCCCCTTCCATCTACCTTCTTTCTAAACTTGTGCCATAAAATATTCCAAACTGTAAGGGAGGCTCGATGTAAATCAGGAATGAAATTGTAGTTAAGTGGTACAGCCAGCTTGTTTCCATTTGGGGATAGTCCCTGATTGAAAAATGGGCTTTGCAGTGTCATTTCAAAGATTTTGTTTCATTTTTTTTTTGCTTTGATGAGTAAGTGCAAAGATCAGAAATTGCATATGCAATACAATATTTCGATTGCACCACCTGGCAAGCATACCAAAGCTGTTTCACATTTCTGTTGGTGGTGTCTAGGAACAAGCATCTTAAAGGAAATAATTTATTGAAACTAAATAATTGCCTTATCCTATCAATGTTCAGAGGATAGGAAATCTAGGAAGAAGGATTTGATCATGTCAAAAATATGCTTGCCTCAAATAAATGTATCATGCAGTATAGCAAAAGAATGTTGAATTATAATTCTTTCCTCTCTCTCCATTTACTCTCTTCTAGTTTGCTTGCTATTTATTTTAGGAGGGAATAGAAGTGCTTATCCTATATAATAAAAAGCTAATATGCAAATTGACCAAATAACGGAATGACTGGTTGCTATGATGCGCATTGACCACCACGGGGCAGACACTCAATGCAGGAGGCACTGACCACCAGGGGGCAGACGCTCAATGCTGGCTTAGGCAGACATCCCCTGAAGGGTCCCAGTCTGCGCACTGTGCACTGGGCCTCTAGTGTTATAATAATTTGGTACTATCTTGGTTATTTTTTTTTGATAAGCTATCCTGTTTAATTTGATGTTTTTAAAGCCAGGGAAGCAAATATTTCTTGGTTGTGTCTTCAAAAAGTTCCTCTTGCTGGCTGTATATGTGAGATCAAATACATGTTTGACACACATGGTAGTCAATGCATTTCGACCCTTTAAAATCCCATGATGTGAGACTTGGCCTCTGTGTTTCAGTTTCTCTCCTACATGAAATGGTAACAGTAGTACCTCCCTTGTAGTTGTTGATATCAGGCATAATGCTTATAGCTTATAGGCACTTATATAACCTTAATCAAGATGGACTACTTCAATTATAAAATTTGGTAATGATGTTCCTTTAGTACAATCATTATTCAGAGTTTGGGTGACTTGTAGAGTACCTGGGGAGGGAACTGGGATTAAATTTCATATTAGCAAGTATGAAGAAACTTTTTAGGGACATAAGCGTACCTTGTTAAAACAAATGGAATAGACCAAGTTGCTTGGAGTGAAAATTGTTAAACATTTGTGGTAATAATGCTTCCATGAACAGTGTTTTCTGGGTAAATATCATTCTTATTGAACATAGATGAGGCTCATTCTAAGTATGAAATGTATGATTTGATGGCCATGGAACCCCTGAAGCTTCGCTTCTGTGAGAAGCTGGGTCAGAAGACATGAATTTTATTTCTGTCTTAGTCTGTTAGGGCTGCTAGGCAAATAATCACAGACTGGGTGGCTCATCAACAACAAATGTATTGCTCACAGTTCTGGAGTCTGGGGAGTCCATGATCAAAGTGGTGGGAGGTCATGTTTTGGTGAAGGCACACTGCCTGGTGTATGGCCAGCATGTTCTTGTTGTGTCATAACATGGCAGGAGGGGAGAGGAAACTCTACCCCATTCACGAGGGCTCCACCCACATGGCCTGAGCACCTCCCAAACATCCCACCTCCTAATACCAGCAATTTTGGGGGCTGGAATTTCAACATATGAATTTTGGCAGGGAGAACATTCAGACATAATGATTTCTTACGTAGTTCTCCCCATCCTTATTCATGAAGGAGAATTTCAAGGTTTGATGAAGTCTTTCATCTGAATCCCCCTGTAATATTCCCATTTTATAGCCAGATGCCTCTGTCTTGACTGCCTGCAGCAATTATGCTCCTCATATAACTCAATTTGGGGACAATTTAATAGTTACAAAAGTTTTTATTTTGAATCTAGATCTGTCTCATCATGTCTTCTGCAATTTATTTATAATTCTCTCCTGTGAAGCCAGTTGAAACAAGTCTAATCTTTCACTCCTATGGCAACCCTGTATTTAAAGATAGCTTTATCCTAAGGCCTCTTTTCATTAGACTGAACTGTCAAAGCTCCCCACACTGTTCTTCATTACTATTATGGTGACCTCCTTACAATGAACATGCTTCTGTTTCTTTTCAAAAAAACCAAACCTCATACTCAATGTATGAGCAGCACGGAATGGGATAGGGCCCAAGAGGATGTGGCAGTCTCCTCTGTTTTGGAGATACTCCTTTTAAGGTAATCCAAGATTCAAATACATTGGCAGCCATGCCATACTTGACTCATAATGAGTTTATAGTAATCTATGATCTTTACATTTTTTTTCACACATGCTACTATTAACAGATGTATCCTACACTTTTTTTTGGACTAGTGGCAGGATTAAACATTGTTCACATGAAATTTTATCTTCTTAGATTTTACCCAAAATTCTAGCTTTTTTGGTGGCATTTTTTTTCTTGTAACCAATCTATTTTATTACTAATACTAGAGGCCCAATGCATGAAATTCATGCAAGAGTAGGCCCTTGCAGCCCCGGCTTCATCTGGAAGGACATCTGGACGGTTGTTCTGCTGTTCAGCTGTTCATTTGATTTGCATATTATGCTTTTATTATTATAGATTAGTTGGAATGGCAAAATCATACCAGGGATCAGTAGATTACTAGTCTTGGCTACAGAATATTGAAAAATAACAGTTACACTGTCAATCCATTGGTAAACATTTACTGGTTTGGTAACCATGCCACTATGTAGCTCTCATATACAGTATCCATGTGATATGTTTGGTTTCATTGTCTCCATTTGAATTTCCCAACAATCTTTCACAAGTATGTATAAGAAAAAAAATAGATAATATCCTAAGGGTGTGCTTTAAATTCCATGGGGAGAGTTCAAACAGTATATGACCTACAAGTCCAGAAGTGGGTGGTTGTTGAAATCTCCTCAGAAGTGGTGGAATTTGAGCCAGGCAGGCCTGGAAGGTTGCCTGGAGTTGGGTGAGATGGAGAGATGGAGAGCATGCATTTGAGAGGGTAATGAAGTCTGGGTTGATGAGGTAGGAAGTGCAGTGTCACATTAGGTGATGGTATATAGATGAACTTCTAGAAACAAAGCTTGTGTATAGGAGAGTGTTGATGAGATCAGAAATGTGGATTGGTGTACCTTGTGTGATGCTAATATTAGTCAGTATTCTTAATGGGAGGAACCATTCTCTGGCCAAAGTAATCCCCCATACTTATAAGTGAAGAGGCTGAAGGTTCCTGCATACTAGTTTTCTACCTTGTGTGATGCTAATATTAGTCAGTATTCTTAATGGAAGGAACCATTCTCTGGCCAAAGTAATCCCCCCATACTTATAAGTGAAGAGGCTGAAGGTTCCCGCATACTAGTTTTCTCCAGATTTCTCTCCATCAGTTTCTGTTGCACTCCCTCACAAACATGAAGTTTGCAAGCAGTTGTACCTCCTAGAATACTGTTTAGAAAAATATCTGGTTTTCCTCTTTCTAATAAGATGACCTTGGATTTCTTTTGGGAGGCTTGCTCATTTCTTGTTGCATATGGTTTCTCCAGTGCTCGTTTTTAACACGGCCCACCTGCTTATTGGCCTTACTGGCCTTTCTTTGGGAACATTTTGAAGTTCATATGTTTTAATAGCCTTTAAACATATATTTGAGCATATGGTTCATTTTGAGGCAATAAGCTGACATTCACTTTTCTTGTCCCGTCTTTTGTGGCCCGTGTGGCAAAAACATCTGTTCTGACAATGGAAGAAACCATAAAGTAATAACTCCTCATTACGTTACTAGCACAATAATGTAATGCTCTCGGCATCCATCTCCACGGATGATGGCTGCCTGCAGTGATCCTTCATCTTCTCTCAGCATTGGCTCTTCCTCCTTCTTAGTAGAGTCTTGTGAAAAGCAATTTCTCGTAGACTTGTGTTTTACTAATGACCTGTTTCATAAGGGAAAGGGAGGAACGCAAAGGGCATCAATGATCACAAATATCTACATCTGGCAGAGGATTGAAAGGAAAACCGATCACAGCTGCCTTTGACAGTTAATGTTATTAAAACATTCAATGTGGAATTTTCTAGTTTAAATATAAACACTTGAAAGAAATGGTCAGAATTAGCAGAAGCTTAAATTGAAACCATGTTGGTTTGTAGGTAATAGAATGCTAGGGACAAACACTGCCTTTAATATAAAAGCATTCTTTACCCCCCAAATTATCCATTTGGCCTTGTTTGTGCCACTGGAATTTGATTAGGTTTGGTTTTTTCAGGAAATCAGGAAGTAAGAAGAACCCATTTATTTTTTTAAATATATTTTATCGATTTTTTACAGAGAGGAAGGGAGAGAGATAGAGAGTTAGAGATATCAATGAGAGAAACATCTATCAGCTGCCTCCTGCACACCCGCTACTGGGGATGTGCCTGCAACCAACGTACATGCCCTTGACTGGAATCGAACCTGGGACCCTTCAGTCTGCAGGCTGATGCTCTATCCACCAAGCCAAACCAGCTAGGGCAAGAAGAACCCATTTAATCTCCTATTAAGTGGTTCATTCTCTGCCCAAGCCTTTGAGTAACTCAGTTTATTAAACCGTTCTGAAGTTCAGGTCTGTTAACTCAGTGCTACTCCATCCATATTCCTGTCTTTTGGCCTGTGCTAACATCTGATTGACCCAGATGGGGAATGATAGAGTCAAAATGCAATGGGGGAACCTTAAGAACCAAACATGTGGTTATCAATTTATTGACTCACGGATTGTTACCTGAAGCTCAGAACGTTCCCACCTGGTAGTCCCTCAGTCTGCATTTGTTGTGTCAGTACACTGTAATTTACCTGCTGAAACAGTTGCTGGTTCTAATTCTCTTAATGTACCCAGGAGCCTCTGTGCCACTCACTAATAAAAATGCCTTGTGTCATTATA